CAATTTAACCCAATTCCAACGGACCTTCTAACGTCTGTTAGGAATTTTTTTTATAAGTCCACATTACCACGGCTAAGAGGATTAAAATTGACAGATAATACAAAGAAGGGAAAAAAACAAACCAAGCTCGTGTGCCTACTCTGCAAGCACCGGAACCCTACATGTTTGTGCGATTGGGAACACTAGCATCTGATAAAGGAGAAAGCAACAAATTTGTGCAAGGAAAGTTGTCTTGATTTGGAAAGTTAACAACCTTACTTTGAAATTTTACTTTTGTTTTCCTTCATACTTCGTATCTTTTGTTTTAGAGAAGCAATTTGACTTTGTAAGTATTGGAACCCTAAACGAATTACAAATTCCAGCAGCGAAGGTCGTGAGGAAGACGGTGAATAAAAAATCTCCATTGCACGGAGTTGCTGTGAAAGTAAAAAATTCTAATCTACACTGTTTGTTACTTCTTTTTTTTCGGTGCAGCAGATGACCAATTTTTCACCTTTAGTGAGAATGGAGAAGAACGTGAGTAGAAAGAGTCACTAATAAAGATTGTGAAGATGAGGTGGGAGAGTCAAGAAGTGAGGAATTTGGAAGTGAGAAAATCGCATGTGAAGAGGAAGAGTCATAAGAACCAAAACATAAAATATCATGATTGTTCATATAAACTATTAAAAGTTAGGGAGATACCTGGAAAGTTTTATGTATTGTAGTAATCAATCCTCAAACAGCAGGAATTTTTCTGCATGTGAAAATTTGTGGTGATCTCTCATTATTGGTTGAAAACAGAGAAGCCAGGCACGTCACGCCTTTAATGAAGATAATAACTCCTAACCTTCTTGTTTACTTTTTGGAGGGCATTGAAAGGAAATAGCTTTCATGATGATCAGGTTCCTCTATATTTATATACAGTGGAAGAGATAATAATAACAATTTTTTACAAAGAAGTATTTTCACATTAAAGCTTTTAAGTTCTATTAGAATTTATTACTTCTGATCCTTAATATAAGATCTTGTTTGATTTTTATTTTGATCCTAGTTATAAAACTCCAATCCACTTTATCTATTATATTTATAAATTTTTTTTCTAAGACAATTCTTCTAATAATGGTAGTTCTAGGCAATAAACTTGATTAGCAAAGGATATTTTAAGAAAGACAACATCTATTTATTACAAATAACTAACTTAACTTATTTTCTTAATCTCTTTAAATTAATTAACTAGCTCTTATAATTAGGATCGGAGGTAGTATAATAAATTCAAAATCTATGATGAAAAGTGTCAAGAAAAATAAAACAACAATAAAAATACTTTGAATTCAAGAGAAATCATAATGTCTGTGTATTTTATGACTTGTTGTGAAGGATACTATATTCATGTTGATGATTTTATCATTTAATATTTTGCACGGAAATATCTTTTATTCGATGCCATTACATATAAATTTTCTTACAAGATTACTTCTGATTTTTTTTAAAGAAAAACATTTTCTTTTCAAAATACATTTTTTGTACTTTTTGGGCTGGTATAATTATTTTTATATGATATGTATTTTGAAAATAATCATGAGTCATTTTTACTCTTATACGGTTATACCCAAACAAAATTATATTTATCTAAAGATCACTTGTTTTAAAAAAAAAATTATAATACATCAACATTCTCACATTATTGTATATAATTACATGCATGTATGTTGCAAAACAAGTAGTCATATTATTTATAACTTATAAATAATAGATCATTGTATAGATTTTTTATTAATATATTATAATTAATATATTAATAAAACAACTTGCTTAGATTTTTTATTGTATAGATTTTTTATTATAATTAATAAAACAACTTGCTAAATATTTTACTACATAATTATTTACCAAACAAAGTGCAAAAATAAAAAAGCTTCAAGCGGGTCCATTATATATATAACAAAAAATAATACTACATATTATAATGTATGTAACAAAAATAATATATTGTCATTAATTTTAACAGTAATTTTAATAATAGAGTAGTTAATAACCAAAACATAAAATATCATGATTGTTCATATAAACTATTAAAAGTTAGGGAGATACCTGGAAAGTTTTATGTATTGTAGTAATCAATCCTCAAACAGCAGGAATTTTTCTGCATGTGAAAATTTGTGGTGATCTCTCATTATTGGTTGAAAACAGAGAAGCCAGGCACGTCACGCCTTTAATGAAGATAATAACTCCTAACCTTCTTGTTTACTTTTTGGAGGGCATTGAAAGGAAATAGCTTTCATGATGATCAGGTTCCTCTATATTTATATACAGTGGAAGAGATAATAATAACAATTTTTTACAAAGAAGTATTTTCACATTAAAGCTTTTAAGTTCTATTAGAATTTATTACTTCTGATCCTTAATATAAGATCTTGTTTGATTTTTATTTTGATCCTAGTTATAAAACTCCAATCCACTTTATCTATTATATTTATAAATTTTTTTTCTAAGACAATTCTTCTAATAATGGTAGTTCTAGGCAATAAACTTGATTAGCAAAGGATATTTTAAGAAAGACAACATCTATTTATTACAAATAACTAACTTAACTTATTTTCTTAATCTCTTTAAATTAATTAACTAGCTCTTATAATTAGGATCGGAGGTAGTATAATAAATTCAAAATCTATGATGAAAAGTGTCAAGAAAAATAAAACAACAATAAAAATACTTTGAATTCAAGAGAAATCATAATGTCTGTGTATTTTATGACTCGTTGTGAAGGATACTATATTCATGTTGATGATTTTATCATTTAATATTTTGCACGGAAATATCTTTTATTTGATGTCATTACATATAAATTTTCTTACAAGATTACTTCTGATTTTTGTTAAAGAAAAACATTTTCTTTTCAAAATACATTTTTTGTACTTTTTGGGCTGGTATAATTATTTTTATATGATATGTATTTTGAAAATAATCATGAGTCATTTTTACTCTTATACGGTTATAACCAAACAAAATTATATTTATCTAAAGATCACTTGTTTTTTAAAAAAAAAAATTATAATACATCAACATTCTCACATTATTGTACATAATTACATGCATGTATGTTGCAAAACAAGTAGTCATATTATTTATAACTTATAAATAATAGATCATTGTATAGATTTTTTATTAATATATTGAATCCTAAAATAAAAGTTTGATCAAAATTAATTAATAAAACAACTTGCTAAATATTATCCTACATAATTATTTACCAAACAAAGTGCAAAAATAAAAATGCTTCAAGCGGGTCCATTATATATGTAACAAAAATAATATATTGTCATTTATTTTTATCATAAAATGCTTAGTCAAAAGCATAAGATTGGTGGGTGTCAACTACTGGCAGGACCTAACAAAATGGAGAAAGGAATGGAGAGTAACACGACCGCACACTTTCCCGCCTTTTTATTTCTCCCCAAATTTAGCCTTCATTTTCAAATAACAAATAAAATGCTTTGCAAAAGTTGAAAACTTGGTAGAAAATTAAACAAATCAATACTGGGAATTTTTTTTTCTTTTCTAATTTTCAGTTTTTTTTCGGATTTTACATTCATGTCCGTTCTTGATGGGCCAAGCTACTTTAATTAGAATGTCCACCTAATTAAAATATATAAATTAAATTAAGATTTAATATAATTTAGAGGGAATAAAGAAATATTTCTTGAAATATGCTAAGGAAAAGTTTCTTAAAACATAGGAAATTACACCTTTTTAATATACGACGTGCTTCTCTTAATTATTCCACTGACTCCCCTTGTTTTCTCCCCTCTCTTCTTATCTATTTTCCCGACACCCTCTTAATGAATTTTTTTAATTAAAAAATACACATTATATGTTGTCGTTTTTTTTTTTGGTGAAAAATATGCTGTCTTATTTTTCACACGACTGGAATAGTTCCTCTATAGGTCGAAAGAAATTTAGAAAACCAGCCGTATTGCTTATAGCTAATTAATGAATTAAAGGAGCTTGTTTCAGGATTTACATATATATAAATAAAACACAGAAAATAATTAAATTATGATTAGTGAAAGTGACTTCATTATTTTTTAAGATTATGAGTATATATTAATAATTTTAGGTTATAAGTAGAATTAAATCTATAATTTTCTCTTTATAAATACTCGCCAGCCAAGCAGGGCTTTTGGCAATTTGCATGCAAGTTGGTAGGTAGTTGGGAGCAATCAAAACTTAGGGTTCCATACATCTCACCCCGTGACAACCCCCACAACCCCCACTTCTCTTGTTTGTCAATTTGCTAATTTTACTATTAGTTTTATTGTAAATAGTGTACATGACAATATCAATTTATAAATAGAATAACCAAATCTAAATCTGTGGAATAAAGTTGTGAAAATTGTTTTGACTTAAATGAGTTGAGATTACGAGTGAGATTGAGTTGGGTTACAAGAAAGCATTGATATAAAGATGTTATTTAAATACTACCTCTAGTACTTAATACAAAAGCTAATTTGATATTCAATTTGATTCTAAATATAATACTCCAATTTACTTTGTTCCTTATATTTATCTATTTTTTCCTAAAATAATCTTTGTGGTCGTTGCACACGTTAATACACATGATTAACAAAGATATTTTAAGGAAAACAACACATATTTATCATAAATAACTAGCTTAATTAAACTTATTAATCTACTCAAATTAGTTAATTAGAATTTTATATTAAGAACTGGGGGTAACAAAATTTTGGGGGGTGAGGGCTGCCCATGTTTCTGGGGCTAAAAATTAATTAAAAAAATGGAAATAACAAACAAAGGGGTGAAAAAGAGTAAAATGTGTGTGTGTGTGTGTGTGTGTGTGTGTGTGTGTGTGAAGCTTTCAAAGAAAATCTAGACCCTGTGACGTGAGTCGGAATGCTGCTGCCTAGCTAGCTTAGCCAAGTGTTTTGGCTATAAATTGGTGAGTTTGGGAGGGGGCAAAATCACGAGCGTTGAGCTTGGCGTACGTGTTTAGCCAGTTAGGGGGAGAAATAGAAAAGAGAAAGAGAGAAAATGGTGGTGAAGGTTTATGGAGCAGCAAAGGCAGCTTGCCCTCAAAGAGTCTTGGCTTGTCTCATAGAGAAGGGCGTCCACTTCGAGCTCATCCATGTTGATCTTGATCACGGAGAACACAAGTCTCCGGACTTTCTTCACCGCCAGGTTCCCACTTCTCTTCTGAAAACTTACACATGTTTTCTTGTAGTCTAATGAACGAACTCATACATATGTATATACTACCCCCGATATAAGATCTTATTTATAGGCTATAAATGATACTTTATAATTAGGACCTGAGGTAGTATGTGTCTTTTCTTATGGAGTTAATAAGATTTTGTGGCTGTACGTGTTGCAGCCCTTTGGACAAGTGCCGGTGGTGGAAGATGGCGATTTCAAGCTCTATGGTGAGCAACCATTATATATCTCTTTTGCATATTGTTTCATGTTTCGTATTTGTCCTTTTATTACTATTACTTAATTAACTATATGTTGCAAACTATTTTATTCAATAACGTCTGTGAATAATATAGTTTTCTTACTACCATTACATTATTCAAGAATTAACTAACTAAACTAACATTTTTTTAGTTTGCTATGGCGAGCAACCATTGTATTTCTTTTGCATGATGTTTCATGTTTCATATTGGTCCTTGTGTTGCTGTATACTACCTCCGTCCGTAATATAAGACATTATTTAATTTTTATTTTGATCATAAATATAAGACTTTAATGTATTTTGTTTTTCGTATTTATACATTTTTTTTCTAAGGTAATCCTTCTACTAATAGTAGTTTTAGCTAATATATTTGATTAGCAGGGATATTTTAAGAAAGATAACACCTATTTATTACAAATAACTAACCTAACTTATTTTCTTAATCTATTCAAATTAATCAACTATCTCTTATATTTAGGATAAGAGGTAGTATTAACTACATGTCTACATGTTGGCCTCTCACAAGAGAGCAAATTATTTTATTCAATAATGTCTGTGAATAATATAGTTTGCTTACTATTATATTATTCAAGAATTGACTAAACTAAACTAACATTTTTATTAATTTTAGTTGACACATTAGTGGCATGGGCTCTTGTCTGTTTTAAGAGATAATAGTTACGAGTTCAATTTTTAATTTTTTAGATTAAACAAATCAAGTCAAAAGAGATTAATTATGAAAGAGATACTATCGGCAAAGAATCTCTTGGGTCACAAAAAGGGGGGGACAACGAAAGTCCTTATCTGAAATGCCCACAAGTAAATATAATATATAATATCTCAATGTACTGTTACTAAAATTTATCACTTTTAAAGAGGATTTTCATTAATAAGAGTATTTTTTTTGGTGAACAGAGTAATTTTAATGTAAATGGTTAAATGAGTATTTTAGGCAAACTAACACATTTTTTTTTACAAATAACTAACTTAACTTATTTTTTAATATATGTGAATTAGTCATATATCTCTTACATTTAGAGTTAGATAGAGTAATTAAGAAACCAGCTTTCATAAACTATGTTATACATTTTTCTATGATGTATAGATTAATGCTAGTTTAATTTTCAAGGATTACTTCTAAACCTAATTAACATTGTACGAAGCAAGTAGAGTAAAAAGGAATGGGAAAAAAAGAAGAAGACAAACAACTCAATGTTATGAATAGAAAATATCTTCTAGACATGTGAACGAAATAAACAATAAAACTAGTAATTATATTAAGCAATTGTATTGGTAACTAGAATATGCTAAAAACTGTAAATTTCTATCTGCACAAAATTCGTATCTGACTTTTCCCTCCGTCTTAAAACGGTTATATGCTGTTGTATGCTTTACTCATGAATAGAACGTTTACCAAATTTCTTTAGTACTATACTTACCTTTTTTGTTTTGCTTATTCTTCAGTATTTGCATGTGACTTGTGTTTTGGGACGTACCTTCATTGTCCTTATTAATTCCAAGGAAAAAAAACATATCCTTTTATGGTAAAAATATAAATATTTGTCGTTAGTGGAATTACCATTATGAATTGTAACAAGGTGCTTAAATATCCCTAAAATATTTATGAATGAGCAACTAGCACCTGAAATTTTTTTTTTTACTCTTATATGGCTGGAAAGTTTATTTTCATAGTAAAAATACTCTTATCATTATTCACTGTTAAGTTTGACCAATAAATTATACAATTTAACTGATATCTTTAGCGGTCAAATTTAACGGTAGATAATGGTTCAAGAAGATATGTTACGAAATAAAACTTTCGAGGTATATAGCCAAAAAAAAACTTCCAGATACCAGATGCTTCTTTGTAGATGCTTTTAGGGTATTTAAATATCTTATCCTTGTGAATTTGCTTTCTGACAAGAAACTGTTTCCATATACTTATTCAAGTCTCACCTTCATCAAATTTAATCAAGTCTACTATACATAATAGTGTATTTATATCTATTATTTAAGAGGAAATAACAGAAGAAATACATGTTGAATTTCAAAATGATAAATAGGTGAGTTTGATTATATTTTGACCTGCAAAAATCATTACAAAAATAGTCAAAACCGTTACAAGAATAGTCATGAGCTATTTATCTTTTTAAAATTTAAGGCTTTTTTTTTTTGTCATTTTTCTATTTTCTAACCATCTTTTGATTTATCTCACAGTTGAAGATGTCATGACTGATAAATGAGAATTTACATGTTAAAAATATTTTTAACTTTTTTCCTTCTCTTTTTGGGAGTTTAAACCATAATTACTAGTGACAAATAGATGAGTTACGTGCAGTGATGAGGACCGCCAAAAATAGAACTTTATGTCGGAATATATATTTTCTTTCCTTATTGTGGCCTGATATGTCGACATCTTTTTAATTTACTTTGTTTTCTTTCCTGAGGTATATGTCTCCGACCAAATCCCATATATGTCGTACTGTGTCCTTAGCCATGGAAAATTCCATGAGGCTGAGATCTCAAACAAGAAAAATGATTACTAACAGCTGAAATTTATTTAAAATTTGTCATTATAAGATACTCAATTGTTATGGGTTTTTTTGTGTGTGAATATATTCATTCTTTGAGACCTTATTACAATTCTGCCAAATTTCATTGGTGTGACTGTGTGAAGTGTATTTATATATTTTCTGTTGAAATGGAATTTAAAAAAAACAAAGAAAGGAAAGAGAAGACGCAATGAATAAATATTCATACTGCTTGGCATCATACCACTTCTTGAGGGTGTTTAGATGAATGAAAAATATTTTTTCGTAAATCGAGACAAATTTATTTATATATTTATTTTATATGCTGTAAAAATATTTTTAAAACCATAATTTTATTTTTATCCAAACACCTCCTTCATACACTGTAAAAGTACTTTTAAAATTATTATTTTGTTTACATCCAAAAACACCCCTTGGTCTTACACGGAGACAAGATCCATTCAAGTCTCTGAATATAGAGCTGAGACGATTCTAGAGCAATCAATATCTCTCTGACGTCGTTTTGAATGTTGCTTGTGCGTGCAGAATCGAGGGCAATCATCAGGTACTACGCAGCCAAGTACGGCGACCGTGGTCCCAACCTGCTAGGGCAAAGCTTGGAGGAGAGAGCCATGGTGGACCAGTGGCTTGAAGTGGAAGCTCACAACTTCAACGACCTGTGCTTCAACCTGGTTCTGCAACTAGTGATCCTGCCCAGAATGGGTCAGCCCGGAGACTTGGCCTTGGCTCACAGCTGCGAGCAGAAGCTGGAGAAGGTGATGGACGTGTACGAGAAGCGGCTGGGCGAGAGCGCCTACCTCGCCGGCGACACCTTCACGCTCGCCGATCTCAGCCACCTTCCGGGCATAAGGTATCTGATAGAGGAGGCCAAGATGGGCCATTTGATCAGAGAGAGGAAGAACGTGAATGCGTGGTGGGATCGTATTTCTGGCCGACCTGCCTGGAAGAAGCTCATGGATTTGGTTCGTTGATTCATGTATCCGCAGGCACATCGACATGATTGTGTCTCTATTGTGTGTGTCTGTGTCTGTGTGTCTCTATTGTGTGTACAACAGTGCAGGTTTATAGATGAGTTGGATAGAGAGAAAATGAGAGTATTTGGATGACAAAAAAGGTAATTAAAGAGGAACTTTTATAATTAATACAAAAATATATATAATTATTTTTCACATCTTCAAAGTGTGGCTTATGAAAAAGACCAGGCCGGACGTATTCAAAAAATTGTAACGAACTTGAAACATGGAGCGCGTGGGCTCGCGATACATTATAGCATTGTGCTTTTGGGCTCATATCATCAGATGTTTTCAGTTGTTATTTATTCAAAGAAGCTTTTGTTGGCCCTGGGAACATAAGAAGACCCAAATAAAAGTTTTCGTAACCTTTTTGTTCCCCAGCCAGCTTTCGTCTGCTCAAATTTAAATAAGATAGATATTATTAAGAGAAATGTAATCATTTTATTCCTGTAATTTTGCATCAATTATAATTCCTAAACGTTAATTTGCTATAACTCAATTTTCATAGTTTTTGTTGGCAAAAAAGAAAATCTCAGTTTTTATTTGGTTGGAACTCAATTTTTCAACTTTAGCTCAGTACGATTTTGGGTGGCCGGTCTTAGTACAATTTAGTACCTATAATTTAATCATATAAAATATTAGTTTCTAAGCTTAAAAAAAACCTTTACCCCTCATAATTTTGTAGGGAAAATTAATTTGCATGTCTCTATAATTTCATCTGATTATTTATATAGTCTTTGTCGTTTCTTTGTTTTATTAATTTTTAACAAAGTATAGTTTCATTTGATTTTTAATAACGTGCCGAGAGTCTTGTTTTTTTAAATTTTTCTTAAATGGACTAATAAATTTTAAGAACAAAACCTATATATCCAATTCACTAGGTCCAGTCCTCCCAATTTTCCAATAAGCATGCATGAACCACCTGGATTCATGAACACCTCGCCTCTTCACGCCCTCCGTTGATATCACCATAGCCAAGATAAAACTACTGTCACATTAATTTGCTCACGGTATTTTTTTTAAGTACGTCTAGCACCTTAATATATTTTTGATACACCTAACACTTAAAAGGTAATTTTTTTTTAAGTGTATTAAATACCCTAAAATATTTTTTTTTGGGAACCAAGACAAAAAAAAATTATTTCAAGTTTTGGATACACTACAAGATACTTTAAGATACTAGATGCATTTAAAAGGATACTTTGAAATACTGAATGCACGGTAAGATCCAACCACTATGAACCATCCTATTTACCTCCAATGAAGCCAAAAGGGCGAGAAAGGCCATAGAAAAACCTTACAAACTACTATTATTAGCTACAAAATGAGGATAATGAATTACAAGCTGTTGATACAATATCATATACAGATTATGCATCTTTTTTCCCCTGCAGATTCTATTCTCAGTCCAGTTTTGTACAGAACTGTGTGAAAGAGTAGGACCTCTATGTCTTTCTTGAAGGAGACAACTTTCTTGAAGAAGGAGGCATCATAGATCTCGCATAGGCAATGGGAAGAAAAAGTAATTTCTTGGCCTTGCTTACATATGCTCTCTTTGAGAAATTGTCATAATCATTAGCTTCAATCTCGTCTAATATCTGGCGATACAACAACAAGGACGCCCATACCTGCAACACCCCAGTAATACTCATTTTGCGTTCACAACTTGAAATGCTAATCAAGGTAATATAACCAACATCCTCATTCATATCCACCAAATAAGCATTTTGAGTTGAACACATTCTAAAGCTAAATAAATGTAACAGCGAATGTTAACTGTGTATGGATTCAGCACATTGAGATGGCTAGATGCAAATGTAAAGTTAGTGAATCGGATCCAATACCATCATGCGCACGTGTGGAGTGCAGGAGGTACAAAAGTTTGTGATTGTGAACCTACCCTAAAAACTAGCTGTTGAGGTGAGAGAATCAACATACTTAAATACCTAAGCATTCTATACTACTCAATGTAGGGCTTGATAACACATACCGGCAAGTCTTAATCAGACTGTGAATTTGGTGAGCCTACTAGATCATGTTTAAAAGGTATTGAGACTCTTTCATTAGAACCAACTCTTATTGGTAAATTTGAACACCCTTTCTACTAAATTTTAGTTTTGACGTGTTCCTTGTGTCTATTTATGATTCAGTTTCTGTAATATTGAAATTTGCCTGTGTTACGGGGGGCTAGAGGTTGTTGACACGGCCCCACACATGTCAAGGGGAAAACCTAACAAAACTACTAACAGCCAACAAGCTCTTAAGAGGAAAAGTGAAGGCTTGAAAAGTTGTTCAACCCCACTGAATTGAACTATACATATGACAAGTCATGGTTGGGATAATGACAAATCTGAAAAAAATTAAGTTAACCAAAATTGCCACACTCATTGATTTGTATATTGACACAAAAATACAGGTAAGGAAAGCTACTTGCACCACTTAAAAAGTGGCTTTATCTGAATTTAGGTCAGGCTAGATGAGAACTTCTGGTTGCGTAAAAGAACTTTTTACAAGCACAGCCAATAACTTTACTTGATACTGACAATAAAGTTTCGCCTATATCTTACATTACAATTAAAAATAAACAGAAAAGACAGTCGGTCAACGCTGAACAATGATTGACCCAACACAGCCAATGTGCACATGCTGGCATTTTGTCCTTATAACAAACAAGTCAAATATCTTATTCTTTCTTTCTTTTTCATTTTTTGAGGTAAATTATATTTTTGTGCTCGTCACAATCAAGGCACAGATATGAGATATTCCATAATGATAAAAGCTTTGGACGTCTTACCGGCCATCTGCTGGCTTCATTAAGCTCTGTGACTCCCTTCTCAGCCTCATCAAAAAACATCCTTGCCCTTTTAATTTGGCTCTTCATGAAGTTTCTCCATTTGTCAGTCACCTTCCCTGCAAATATGTCATCATCTGATAGCCCTGCCTGAGCCAACTCATCCTGCGGTAGATATACTCTCCCTCTCTTGGCACTGCCAAAGAACTTTTTTATGAGAAGGGGAAGACTAACAAGAAGCGCAGGAAATTCTAGAAAATTATTTTGGAAAAGCGAAGTATGATCTATTGAAGACATAGAACCCCAAATATCAGTCCCTTTTCTTCCCTTCATTTTTTCCCTATGTTTTCTCTTCTCTTACCAATCAGGCGAGGCATAAACAAGAATTAAAGAACCTCAACAAATCATACGGAACCTAATGGAAGTTTATGGAGCAAAGAACATATAAAATCTCACTTGTATAGTGACATATCACATAGAGAGTTTAGATCATTTGACAGAAACTAGGTGTCTTAAAACATAATTAGTTCACAAAACTTGCACGCTATATCAAAAAAGATTGCCTATTTACATCTTATTCTATTGCAAGAATTCACAACCTGTCTTGTAGGACTTGCTAAGGACATATGTAAATCATTATTATCTGGAATCATGTTTATCTATAATTATGTCACTTTGGCGCAGAGGCAATACCACAAAAGGTCTAATAGAACACTTTGTGGTCAAGAGAAAGATTTACACAACAATGCTTATACGAACTTATAAAAGAAATAAACATACAGACACTTTCAACTTACTCCTCTCCAACATCTCTGAGTATGTTAGTTAGCTGGTTTGCAATTCCTAGGGCCAAGGCAGCATTATATACACTCTCTGTTGTAGCTTGTGACTCTGGTGAATTCCCATGACTGGAACACTCATTAAACCAACTGTCCCGGCAACATAATAACAGTAAAGATAAAGTTCATCGAAATTTTTGTATCTGGACTTCCTAAGGTCCATTCTCATTCCTTCGATCATATCTTTAAACGGCTGCATAAACAAGAACAAAAGATATTGAGATATGGATTCTCTCATAAATTTTTTGGCAAATTGAATTTGCTCACATTAAAAGTGCACAAAATGGGACCTAAATTTTGATAATCATGAATTGAACTTAAGATTCGAATAGGTCAGTTTTTTCAGGGTAATAGAAGTGTGGAATTTCATGGCAGCCAGGAAAATTAAAAGGAAATGTAATGTGTTACTGATTGCAGATTTGCCTTCTGCAAACCACAGTAACATGTAAATCCAAGCAATGTCAGAGAAATCTATTGAAGATACTGATGATTTTCTTCTATTTTAGAAATCTAAGATTGTTCAATGAAGAGAAATTTTTAATTGAAGAGAACAGTATCATACGATTGTCGTGTATGACAAGAAAGCCATTAAGATGATACAGTTAAAAGATCTTTATTTTAATCCTTGTTACGCTTAAATACAAAAAAGCAAGATGATAGACCTCATAAATATATAATTCCAACTAGGATCTCACTTAGTCTTCATCCAACTTCTGAAACTGATCCCTACCTGAATATCAACAGGAAATTTGGCAACTGTATCTGCTAGAGCAGCATCAAGCATATCAAATGGACGACCTTGGAAAAGATCATCCAACCTTGACTCCCACCTATCTAAAGCAGTTGGCGTTATATGTGAAGCATTAGGGCCATCAACAAGTTCATCTGTTCTCCTACACCACACTGTAAATACAAGGAACCACATAAGAGACCGCCAAGCTGATCATTTTTGATACAGGATAAGCCTTGTATGAGTAACTGACAAATAGGGCAAGATAAAGCAAAAAGCTCCTTCACTTATGAAGTAATGGCAACAAGCCTGACCACTTGATTAACTCACCCTTCCCACTTTAAAGGAAAATGGCAAAAATACATCGCTCTATTATGTTGAGGGATCAATTTTATTCATCATGTACAAAAAGCACATCCACTGTCATTCAGACAGAGAACTTTTAATAGCGAATATATATTGCTAATAAAGTTGAGAAAGATGCTTGATCCAAATATATTATATGGATTTCAGGACCAGTAAGGTCTCAATTCCTTGTCAAAATGAAATGGATTGAGAAGAATGAGAATAATTCAACTGTTGGTCAATATTACTCACCATATATAGCCCAAATAGCCCTTCGCCTTTCAGGGGTCATTAACTGAGTTCCTGGAAGGCCAAAACAACCAATTTC